AAAGAAAGAAAGTGAAAAGACAACTCATGGATGAGAGAAAATATCTGCAAATCACATATCTGATAAGGGTCTTGTATGCAGAATATATAAGAACCTTTACAACTCAACAGTAAGAAGACAACCAAATTAAAAAATAAGCAAAGGATTGGAACAGACATTTCTCCAAGTACGATGTAAAATTGGCCATGAAGCACATGGAAAGATACTCAGTGTCACTAGCCATCAGGGAAATGCAAATCAAAACGAGATTCCACTCACACCTCCTAGAATGGCAAGCACTGGTAAGGACGTGGAGAAACTGGAACTTTATACACCACTGGTGAGAACATAAAATGGCGCAGCAGCTTTGCAAACCGTCTGGCAGTTCCTCAAAAAGTTATGGAGTTATCACAGCACCCAATAAATTCACTCCTAGGTGTATACCCAAGAGAAACAAAAACTTACGTACACACAAAAACTCATCTACCAACAGTCACAGCAGCGTTAGTCACAAAGGCCAAAAGTGGAAACGACGTCCATCGACAGATGAGTGGATACACAAAATGTGGGAGATCCACACAACGGAACATTATTCAGCCCTAAAAAGGAATGAAGGTTTGAGGAACCTTGTAAACATTAACACTGAGTGAAAGCATCCAGTCACAAAAGTCCACGGATTGTACGCTTCCATTTACAGAAATGTAAATAGCCGAATCTATAGGCTGAGAAAGTAATTTGTGGTTGCCTAAGACTGGGATGGGGAGGAATGAGGGAATGGGAGGGGGGCTGCTAAAGTACATGGGGTTTCTTTTGGGGGTGAAAAAATGCTCTAAAGTTGACTGTGATGATGTATACCTAACTCTGCGAACATACGAAAAGCCACTCAATTATACAATTTAAATGAATTTTATGGTACGCGAATCACATTTCAATCAAACTATTAAACACCTAGAAGGATACAAAGTAGTTAGGCCCAGATGAAGAGTACCAGGCATCAGTGACACTGATGACAAAGATCATTTGTTGAGCACCTACGACGGGCCAGGCCTGAATGGCTGGTACTGGTGTTCCCCTGACAGCACCAGCCTCTGCCCCATGCCACACACCACAGCTGTGTGACCAGAGTCTAGATTCTATTTTCCTCTCTCTTTTCTATTTCTACAGTTTTCACTATACAAGGAGTATGTAATTGCTTTCACAGTAAGGAAGATAACAAATGTTCTGTAATTTTAAGATGTAGTTTTAGCAACGTATAAAATTTGGGAAATAAAGCTGCCTCCCTTTTTTACTTTAGTTTTAANCTGGCCCCTGGCCCATGGGAGACACACGTGGAAGAATGAAGGCAGGGGCAGGGGTGGGTGGGACAGTGGGCAGAGAGATTCTCCCCTCCTTGTTCTGCCTCACACCACACCCGCACCCCCTTCTGGCACAAAATGGGTCTATCCCCAGTGGTCAGGCCCTGCCATGGTTCCAGCTCCCACTGGACGGCCTGGCCTGATCTCTGGGCACCCCCATTGACCGCCTCTCGCCCCCCAGCTCCTGTCTCCTGTGCAAGCAAACCCCTGGGTTCAACTTCCTCCATCCTGAACACCTGAGGTTGCTCCCACTTCCTGGCTAGGCCCTGGCTGATTCTCCAGATACTGTCAAGCTGCTCCCCAAAGAAGGGGCACCCACTTGGCCTCGCTGCAGCAGAGATCAGCAGCTCACAGGGGATTGGGCTTGTTTGTTTTTTTCAATACACAAAAGTATAAAGAATACTACAGGGCTGAGCCCGTGGCGCACTCGGGAGAGTGTGGCGCTGGGAGCGCAGCAACGCTCCCGCTGTGGGTTCGGATCCTATATAGGAATGGCCGGTGTGCTCACTGGCTGAGTGCGGTGCGGGGAGACACCACACCAAGGGTTGCGATCCCCTGACCGG